AAATCTCTAATATGTCCCATGGCAGCCAAGAAGCTGTCACTGGCTCCACATATATCCATTTTATGAACATTTTTCATTTAAAAGGTTAGAATAAAGGTAAAACTTTAAGTATGTATGCCAGCTTTTCAAATTTGCTTGCAAGTATAAGGGAAGATAAAGTCAAACTACTTATCCTGTGTAAATGAAAAAAGTAGGACATAAAATTACATGTGCAATTACTTAAAAACTATCTAAAAATGTATCTAAAAGTAAAAAAAACACCCCTACAACAAAGCTCCATACATAGAGAAAAGATGGGATGGAAACAGAGCTACAGAATGAATTAGAGGGTTTTTCCCTTTGTGTATTCCACATTTTCTATTAATATGTACAACAGGAAATATAGAACAATTTTAAAGAAATGTATGTATTAGCAACAGATAAATGAAAGAATTGGAGATAATCAAGATCACAGAAAATTCAAGATAATCCCTCTGTTAGAAATCCTTCATATGGCCTTTCACCAAACTCAGAAAACTAGGGCTATTCTAAATAGCAGAAATCCCAGAAATGAGTTTTTTTTTGATTGCGGAAGCACTATGCACCTTTTATCAGAAGATCTACCTTGTTAATGTTTTGCTTTTTAAAACAGCAAAGTTGAGTTTCAACCGCAGCTGCCCTGAGGATAACAAGGATAACAGATTTACCACAGATCATTTATACAGTATAAGATAAGCTTAAGGGGTCCTGCTCTGGCTCTCCACATCCTGACTCTCCAAGTACTTCTCAGGTACACTCCATTGGCTACCACACGACCACCATCCATCCCTCCACTCCCCTGCAACCTAACCCAGGTTTCTGTCCAGACATGGCCTGGAAGCATTCTCAGTCCCAGGGTGGGCCTTCTGGGGGCTGAACCCATTGTGGTAAAGCTGAGTCCTTTGCAGGCACAGACACAAGGCCCAGCTCCTACCAATGAGACGCATTTAGGAGTAGGTTCATCTACTGATGACAAGTACTTACTCTTCTCTCTCATGAAAGTACAGAGCCCTGGGAAGAGGGCTCTGCCTCCAGCTCCACCATTCCTGTTTTTCACTCTCCAAGAAGGCCAGGAAGTATTCTGGAATGGAGGAAGGGATGAAGACAGAGGGGCAAAAGCAGTGGCCTGTTGAGGAAGGGTCTCTGAAAGCAGGTACTTGGACTAGACACTTTCATTGATTTCCCTTTAGACAGTACTTACTCACCCAGCTATGATGAGTTGCAAGTGAGATTGGGAAATTGACCTTTTACTATGGGGCAGGGATGCTATGTACTAAGGTAAAATCGAATGACTTTGGAAAGAAAAGAATGAATTTGGGGCCACCATTAGAAGATCCTGCTGCAAAAACAAAAGAGGCAGCCTCCTCGGGAGAGCTGATGTGAGGACATCAGATCTTTGTTTCTAATGTCATTCCCCAATAAAAGGAAACAGGGCTCCTTGGAGAAATGGCTGACTCTAGGACTGGGGCAGGAAACAGTCAAGATGAATTGGCACCTCTGGTAAGGTCAGAAAATAGGGGCATGCTCTAAAAGTAAAAACAAAACAAAACAAAAACACTCAACATCCCAAAACAAACCAACACAAGAAAACACCTCACAATGATGGGTATATATAAAGGGCGACAAAAGTCAATGCAAAGAGTTCCTAATGCCCNCCATGAAGTGATGGGACCGGATGCCCTGATCTTAGTTTTCTGAATGTTGAGTTTTAAGCCAACTTTTTCACTCTCCTCTTTAAACAAGAGGTTCTTTAAACCAGAGATAACATAAATACCCATGAGTCCATAGTGACATAAATAAACAATTCCATAAGTAAGTAACTGAGGGAGAAGGGACACATCTCCCATGCAGAAGAATTCCATGGAATTCATGTCAATACTTTGTACTCCAAGAAATGGAGCCTAAATCCCCAGCTCCAGGTGTGAGAAGGGTGATTTCTTTGCAGAGAGTACTGCATGGAAAGAAGGCGAGGAAATCTGACAAATAAAACCACAAACAGGCAATCAAGGTCAAGCTCAACAGCCGTTAAGTCATGTGGTCAGGAATGTCCTTGATAAGTCTGTGGTGAGAATAACGTTACCTCAGTGATCTGCATCCTGCAAACCAACAACCCTGGTCTAATCACCAGAAAAACATCAGAGACACCAGAGGGAAGGGATATTCCTCAAAACACCTGACTAGCACTCCTCAGAACTGTCAAGGTCATAAAAAACAAAGGAAGTCATGGCCAAGAGAAGCCTAAGGAGGCATGATAACCAAGTATAATGTGGTGTCCTGGATGGGATTCTGAAACAAGAAAAGGACATTAGGTAAAAACTAATGTCTTTAAATCTGAGTCAAGTACGGACTTCAGTTAATGATATTGTATCAACATTGGTTCCCTGATTGTGACAAATTATCATTTTAATGTAAGATATGAATTAAAGAGGAAACTGGGTGTGGGGTATATAGGAACTCAATGTACTACCTTCTCAACTTCTCTGTAAATCTAAGACTATTCTAAAATTAAAAGTTTATTAGAGAGTGAGAAGACAGAAGACTTTCTCCCTTTTTCTGAGTGGGAGGTCATAATGTCAAAAGATGAGGTAGTCATCTTTTGACTGCAGAGATGACAATTCACAGCCATTAGCCAATTGTGGGCCCAGTTACTTCATTTCTGTTATGTGAGAAAATAAACTTTACTGTTTAAGCTGTTTTGTTCCTTGCACCTGAAAAAAAATATTCCAAGTTCATTAATTTGTAATCATATATCCCAAAATAAGCCAGGATGCCAGAGATTTAATGTCTAAGCAAGTATCTCACCAATGTAAAAAGAGACTGGAGAAAAAGAAAAAAAAGAGGCTTTAATTAATATATACGTGTGGTGGAAAATGGTTGATGAAGTCCCAGTTAGGGTAGGGAGAGAAAAAGTGAGCAGAGGTATGAGGAAAAATCCATCTCCATTTTAAGATTATTTAGTAAACAAGGTTTTATTGAGTGAGTACTATATGGTCAGGCCAGGAACCATGGAAAATAACATAAAAGTTTAAGACTTAAATCCTGCCCAAGTATATTGAGATCCTTTATTTTTCTGTGGTATACCAGGCTTAGATGTTAGAACCAAAAGCCATCTTAAAGACCGGTTTTCTGCATACATAAGCTTAAAAGTACTCTACTTTTTAAATTAGGGGCAGCAAACTGCTTTTCTATTTAGCTTTGTATTTTTGAGGTCCTCCAGCATTAGCCTTTCTTTGTGGTGGCTGCCTAATTCTCTGCAGAGCAAATGAACCATTATTTATCCGCTCAGTCCGAGTCATTTAGGTTTCCAGGCTTCACCATTATAAAAACTTGCCAATGAACATCTCTGTTCCTGCTCCTTTGACAACACTGCTAATGTGCCTGTAATAAAAACTTCACGGAGGGGACCTAGCTACTTTACTACATAACACCCTTTCCCACAGTCCAGGGCCGCAAGTTGGGTAGCTGCTTACTTCATACTTTGATACGAGGTCTGGAAAAGGCAGGAAGCAGGTGGGATCCATAACCTACCATGAAAGCACGTAGATGCTGAAGAGGGAAGAAATGGCGCAGGAAGTTGTAAGGGGTATTTGAGGAAACAAGAGATGGGGCAGAACGATACTCTCTGGATCAAAGTAGTGTGAACTAAAGACAATCAAAATGCAGGTCAGTTACATGACAGAGGCCTTCAACGCTAACGCGATGAGTTTATACTTAGTACTGCGAGGCGACGGGGAGTGAAGAAAAGATTCAGTGAAAGCGACTGGGTTTTAGACTCTGTCACAAGTATGGGGGTGGTGTGTCAATTCATCTTCCTGCGCCGAGATTTCCACATTTGTTAACAATTAAAAAGTAATACTTAGATAAAGGAAAAAAAAAGGAAAATAAAATAAACATAAGTAACAAATAAACATAAAAAAAAAAGTAATACTTGCTAGGCCGACCTCGAATACATACAAGAAGTAAACACTGAACTGTAAAACTTAGAAGGCCGATCTCCAGGGTAGTGGTTCACGGTCAGGTGACAAGTCGACAAAAATTTCTTAAGTCTTTTACGAAAAAATGCTGAAACCAGATGCAAAAGCGAAATGTTTTCGCCTGCAAACGACTTGCTATGACTCGAAGTGGGTCGCAGCCTCTTCGTGCTCTGCTGCTCCCGCTCTGCCAGATGCCCACGCGGGAGACCATTTTCGAGGTTTGGTTTGGAGTCTCGGAGCTGAGGACTCCGGTAGACGCGAGGGAACTGAGGTGCATGTGTGTGCGGGAGCGCACAGCCCTGGAGCCGGCGGCCCCGAGCTATCGCCAAAGCGGCGCAATAGCCCCGGCAGGCCAGGAATCTCCGCACTACCGAGCCGGCGTGTGCAACCGGGCGTGCGTGGGCGCAGCCAGCCACTGCGCAGGCGCGGACACGCTCCCCACTCGGCCTCCGTGCGGCGCTCTGAGCGAGCGCGCGCCCCCGGCGGGTTCCGCTCCCGACAGGCGGAGGGCTGCGCGCGCACGAGAGAGCCGGCCGTGACGTGCGCCGCGCTACGCCCGACGTCACGGGTCCGTGTGTAGTGGCGGCCGGGCTACCCTCAGCAGCGGCTCCCGACGAGGGTGGTGCGGTCGCTGGGTGCGGTGTTCGGGGGTCCTGCGGCCCGCAGCGGCGGCGGCGGCGGCGACTACTACCAGGAGGCCCGGTGCTCCCGGCCGCGGAGTCGTCTCTCCCGCCCCTTCTCCGGCCTCGGCGGCGCCCGGCCCGCGGCTTCCTCCTTTTCTGCCCAGCTTCCCGCGGGCCTCTGGGCCGCGCCGGCGAGAAGGAACGAGGGGCGCCGAGAGGCCCCGGCCGGCCGCCGCGGTCCACGAGTCCGCCGCTGCGCCCGGCGCGGGCTCCATGTGAAGGAGGGCCGGGCCTGGCCCCCCGGCCCGCGCCCGACTCCTCGTGCGCCCCTCCGGTCCCCGGGGGCCCGCAGCCTCCCTCGACCGGGGGGCGCAGTGACAGGCCGCGCGGGGGCGGAGGGGTGGGTCTGCGGCTCCATACGTCCCCGCGGAGCGGCGGGTAAGTGCGTGTGCGTGCGTGTGTGTGTGTGTGTGTGTGTGTGAGCGCGCGCGCGCGCCCGCACAAATGTGTGGCGGTGGCGGTGGCGGTGGCGGTGGCGGAGCGGGGAGGGGGCCGGACGTGAGGAGGGGGCAGTTGCCTGCCTGGGCGCAGCCCCTGGGGCGGAGATTTAGCTAAGTTGTAGCCTCTCTTGGGGTGGGCGGACCTTGGGTCCCTGGCATCCTGTCCTGAAGTCCAGGTCCGAGCGAAGTAGACCGCTGGGCGGTGGAGCTGTCAAGACGCGTACTCCGTGGGGCCTTTGGAAGGAACATTGCGCCTGGTCCTTGGGAGAAGCAGAAATCTTACATACAGGAAGCGAGAAAGTGCTTGTCTTTGCCCCGCTGTATCGTCGTACACTAGTGGTTAGGGTTGATGCCCTTTTCTCTTTATGGACCGTTCAGCGAGCACTTGTTACGCCCCCGGTATTTATCGTGCATTGTCTCACCTCACCTTCGAAGCCCAGTGAGGTGATAATGTCTCTCCGTTTTACGGTTGAAAACATCGAGGCTCAGATTCAGGAACTTGCCCAAGGTCACGCAGCTTGGTAATCTGGGAAAGCCTTGGTTCGAATATGATGTCTTCTCCGTAGAAGTGTATTTCTGATCTTGCGAAAATAAATATGTGAGGAAAATGAGAAAACCTGAAAAGTTTCTTCTTGGGAGTAAAATCTAAATATTTACATAAGTAGATCGAGCTTATATGCCTCTATTGTGTTTTGCTGCAGTCTAGCCAAATGATTTTCTTGGTTCTTTCCCAAAAAATTACTATTGAAAGGTGACTCCATGCACCTTTACCTTTTTCTTTTTTTGCGGTGGAACTGACCGGACAGAAAATATTCCCCCTCTTATCAAAAAGAAGAAATAGATTTAGTTAAACTCCATATTTCTTGAAAAGTTACGGTTTGTGCAGTTTATTTTTGATGCATACAGGGAACTCACAGTTGGGTTATTTGCTTGAGATTTCCTTATTGCAAAATTTGTTTCTGGATTATGTGGCAATGACAACATACTTAGTAATTTGTGCATTAACTTGTGCAATATCTCTGAGTGAAGGGCCAGAATTTAATGTGTAGAGTGTTGTAAAAAGTTATCTTTTAATGATGTGATTGTTTTCTTTCCTATGTATGTAGCAAAGTAATGAGTATTTATAAACTAACTGAAATTCTCATTTTAGCATTGACCTATACTGTTTCTTTGATTATGATTAAAGCTAGAGAGCCTTTACATTTCTCTTTGCAGAAGAAAGTGTTGATAAAATTCTCGAGTAACTTAAGTTTCATGCATAGTTGTAAATGTTGAAGAAATCTATTGATGCCCCAAATTGTAGTATTTCATAATTTCTTTTAATGTATTATCAGGTTTAAGAAAATTTGTAGTTCAATGTCTGTGTAATGTCTGTAGAGAAAATGTTGCATTACAGAGTTAAGAAGTGGATGGTTCACAGATTTGTTGTTTGTTTAAAATATAAACGTGTGTTGAGTCTTGTTGAATGTAATATCATTATAGAATGGTTATCTAGTCATGGTCTCCATGAATCTCTCTTGAAAGAAATAACTATTAAAGATTTATTGTAAATAATTTGATGATTACATTGTAGATTCAGTCTTTTAAGTGTTTTAATTGGAACTTTCATCCCATGTTTACCTTATTGCTACCAGAGGAGTAAACTATATTTAATAGATGTTGTATTAAAATGGCATTGTGTTTGGTTCTAGACAAGTCCCACAGCTTTAGTATCAGATTGACTTTATTTTTTTCCTTGTAGAATTGGAGCTCTCTAAGCTCCCTCCTACCTGCCCCCCAACCCAGCCCCAGCTTTTCATTATGAAGCAGTGTTAAGTACACAGGAATTTGGTGATATCAAACACCCACGTGGTAATCCTGTAGACTTACTTGTTGGCATCTCGCCATAATGTGGACATGATTTTTGGCCATGGGTGCCCGTGGCACCGTTGCTCAGTCATGTCCCACTCTTTGTGACCCCATGGACTGTAGCCCGCCAGGCTCCTCTATCCAAGGGGTTTTCTAGGCAAGAATAGTGGAATCTGTTGCCATTTCCTCCTTCAGGGGATCTTCCCAACCCAGGGATTGAATCCCTATCTCCTGCATGTCTCCTGCATTGGCAGGCGGCTTCTTTACTATTGAGCCACTTAGGAAGCATTTTTGGCTATACCATTTGAAAACAAACTGTGGACACTATGACACTTTACCCCTAATATGCCAACTTGCATTCCCAAAGATAAGGACATTTTCTTACATAGCCAAGATATCATTATTGTTAACTTTCTAATGAATAGTTATTAATAAGAATAAATTCTTATTGTTAATTTCTTAATGTAATCTAGTATCCATCCATGTTTAAATCTTCCCACTTGTGCTGGAAAGATCTTTTATGGCCTTTTATACTTAATCCCACCAAACCAGGATCCCATCAAGGTTTATTCACTACATTTGGTTAAGTCTCTTTGATCTCTTCTAATCTAAAACAATATCACCTCTCCATTTTATTTATTTATTTTTTTATCTTTTGGGCATGCCACACAGTATGTGGGATCTTAGTTTCCCAACCAGGGATTGAACCTGTGGCCCCTGCTATGGAAGCACAGAGATTTAACCACTGGATGCCTTGGAAGTCCCATCATCTCTCCATTTTATAAAATGGATTTTTTTTTTCATAAAAGAGATCAAGCCAGTTATCTTATAAAACAAGTCACATTCTGGATTTGTCTGATTCCCTCCCCCCCATGGTGTCATTTAGCATGTTCCTCTTTGCCTCGTACATTAGCTAACTGTAAGCTAGACTTAAAGAATCATTAGTTTCAGGTTAAATATTTTGGGCAAGAATAACTACTGAGTGTTGCTGTGTACTTTATATTACTTCCCATCAGGGATCATATATTGTTAAGTCCTATTATTTGTGATCCTGAGTTTGATCACTTGGTTATGGGGGTTGTTGTTCATTTGCTAAGTCATATCTTTGCAACCCCATGGACTGCAGCATGCCCGGCTTCCCTGTCCTTCGCTATCTCCCCAAGTTTGCTCAAACTCATGTCCATTAAGTCAGTGATGGCATCCAACCATCTCATCTCTGTTGTCCCCTTCTCCTGCTGCCCTCAGTCTTTCCCAGCATCGGGATCTTTCCCAGTGAGTCAGCTCTTCCCATTAGGTGGCTAAAGTATTGGAGTTTCAGCTTCAGCATCCGTCCTTCCAGTGAATATTCAGGGCTGATTTCCTTTAGGGTTTACTGGTTTGATCTCCTTGCTGTCCACAGGACTGTCAAGAGTCCTCTGCAGCACCACAGTTTGAAAGCATCAGTTTTTAGGCACCGAGCCTTCTTTATGGTTCAACTCTCACATCCCTACATGATTACTGGAAAGACCATAGCTTTGACTAGATGGACCTTTATCAGCAAAGTGATGTCTCTGCTTTTTAATACGCTGTCTAGGTTTGTCATAGCTTTGCTTCCAAGGAGCAAGCATCTTTTAATTTTGTGGCTGTTGTCACCCTCTGCAGTGATTTTGGAACCCAAGAAAACAAAATCTGCCACTGTTTCCACTTTTTTCCCACCTGTTTGCCATGAAGTGATGGGACCGGATGCCATGATCTTAGTTTTTCGAATGTTCAGTTTTAAACCAGCTCTTTCATTCTCCTCTTTCAGTCAGTTCAGTCGTGTCCAACTCTTTGTGACCCTATGGACTGCATCATGCCAAGCTTCTCTGTCCATCACCAAACTCCTGGAGCTTACTCAAACTCATATCCATCAAGCTGGTGATGCCATCCAACCGTCTCATCCTCTGTCGTCCCCTTCTCCTCCTGCCTTCAGTCTTTCCCAGCATCAGGCTCTTTTCTAGCGAGTCAGTTCTTTGCATCAGGTGGCCAAGGTATTGGAGTTTCAGCTTCAGCTCTCCTCTTTGCTGCTGCTGCTAAGTCGCTTCAGTCGTGTCCGACTCTGTGCAACCCCATAGACGGCAGCCCACTGGGCTCCCCTGTCCCTGGGATTCTCCAGGCAAGAATAGTGGAGGGGGTTGCCATTTCCTCCAGCGCATGAAAGTGAAAAGTGAAAGTGAAGTCGCTCAGTTGTGTCCGACTCATAGCGACCCCATGGACTGCAGCCCACTTGGCTCCTCTGTCCATGGGATTTTCCAGGCAAGAGTACTGGAGTGGGTGCCTTTGCCTTCTCTGGCTCTCCTCTTTAGGTGAGGTATATTTTCCCCACTGCAGTTGGCATGTGTTCTCCAGTAATCTTTCAGCTTTCAGTAGGTAGTAATATCTATTGCTGCATCTGCTGGCAAGCTAACTTTTGGATTTCAATGTTAACAATCTTTTGTTGGTCTGTAGACAGCAACAGAATCACAGGAATTGTAAAAATATTCTATGCAGCTGTATTAATCAGGTTCTGATTTTGCAGCTGTATTAATCAGGTTCTGATTTTAGGGATTTTAAATGAATTCAAGGTTATCACCAGTTATGAATAAAAAGAGACCTGACTTGACAGAACAGGACAATTCAGTTCCTGTCTTTTCCTGTACTCTCTCTCAAGGAGTGTGTGTGTGTTTTGGCTGTACCGTGAGGCTTGGTGGCTTGTGAGATCTTAGTCCTCACTGAACCTCAGTCCTTGGCAGTAAAATCGAGGAGACCCTATCACTGGACCATCAGGGAATTCCCTCAAATAATATGCTTCTTTTAATTAAGTCTTAGCCAATATTTGTTGCTCAGGAATAGCTGAAATATAAAAGAGTTACTTTACTAGAAAATATTTTGAGAAAACTGTTTTCTGGTGTTATGCAAAGGAGAACTGGATTGAGAATCAGAAGGTCTAAATACTAGGCCTAATTCTACTGTTCTATGAAGTTCAAGGATTATAAACTTTTAAACTTCACTCTGTATTTTCACGTCATAGTGAGTGTTAGTAAACATGTCTGGAGGATAGGAATAGACTCTTCTTTGGTGTTGTTCCCATAA